TAGGAAAGGAAGTTGATGCACGAGAAGTAGTAATACACAAGAGTACCTTTTGCGAACCTGTAGCTTATCTTAAGGGACCAATGTCCAATTTCATTTTATAATAATTGAGTTTTTTTCACTGCACGCGCTTGTATTGATTGACGTAATTACTCTTTGTCTAAGAAAAGAAGAATTACTTTAGGCAAAGTGCATGTATAGCAAAGATTAGTTTTAAATGTTTAAAATTATAATCCTGCGTATATATAGATTGTATATTGTGTCATGCGTTTTACTCGTGCAGAACAAACGTGCTTGTGAAACCGTAAATTTAATACGACAACTAAAATAAATTCTTTGAAAAGTTCAAGGGCAGGTTAACATTTCGGGTTTCTATGCTAATAAACCAAGAAATAATTTTATATATGTTCCCTTATTTGCAATAATTATATGACTTGTCTGCGTTCCAGTTGCTCGGCCGGAAGTTCCTTGATAAGCAGTCAAGCATTACGCAGTTTTTACACCAACCACGTGTTTTGCAAGAGTTTGTTTTTCGCAAGATAATAGCCTCCAAGTTTATATCCCAGTATGTAACAAAGAAAATTGAAAGTCGTCTTGACATTCTACAGGGCGTGGTTCAAAAACTTTTGAAAGGGTCGTTGTGTTTATAAGTAACACAGTGTTTATCTGTAGCAGGAGAGCACAAAAGACTAAATACACAAAGTACCTAGTTGATGACGAGAACGTTATATGATTGCATATTTTAACAGTGGTTGCACATTTACAATATATCTCGAAGACTGATAACCTTTCTCTCCATTCTTTTGAATTATAATATTCATTATTGTGCCTTCTGAAGTGTTCATAAAAAATAGCTTCGGATTAAAAGTAGTTTCTGAAATATTTTAGACCAGATTTTTATCACCATGATATCTAACACGATAACAAATGTGCTAAAAGGAGTAAGTCAGTGTTTGGAGAGGTGGCAAACCAACACCTTATAACTAAACCCATATTATAATTTTGGTTACACTGTGTGGCCAGCATTGCTGAAGCTTTGATATCCTGTTGTTAAAAGTATGTGAAACTTAGTCACTGTACTAATCTAGTAGCATGTTATTCCTGTGTGTTGGGTTATTAGTAACCTATAATTGCGACATCAAAGATAAGACAAAAAAAATGAAACTAAGAACAATAGCATAACACAATGGCAGGTAAATAATATCAGTGCTTCAATTTCCAGAAGAAGCTGTTCTCATATGACATCATCATCCTTTTTCCTTGTATTTTAAAAAAAAAGAACGGATAAGACTGCGACAAATAGTCAACCTTATCTCATTAAGAATGGATTACACTGGTCAACAAAAAACAAATGTATTCTAAAACAAAATGCAACTGTTTCTGAGTAGTTTGACAATGCTGATTCTAAAGTCATGTTGAAAATTATTGATCACCTCTAGTTTTCGAGTTGTGATTGAATTATTCCAAATATTCTTATATATCTTTAAAATGACAACTTTTTCTTTAATAACTGTATTTATTCATTGAAAATTGCATTTAAGAATGTAGAATCTGCATGCTTTGACAAGTTTTCTTCAAGTTCAGAGCAAGAGCTACAGGAATCGATGGCTTAGTGTTCGCATTGTGCAAAAGATGAGTTGATAAAAAGTCTCCATTATTGAATATGATGTTCAGTACCTCGTTCTTCCATTAGTGTATCAACATTTGTACAAAAACACAAAGTATCTTGTATGCTGTAGTGAGAAGCGAGACTTTGATAAATTGAAACTCTTGTTCCTGCAAATAATAACTTTCACTGCTGTAAACGAGAGCCAAGAAGTTCCCTATGTTGCTTTGATAGAGACAAGTCATGAATCAGATCATTTAACTCTTCTTGTGTGATCAAATGAGGTAGTTTATGTTGATGTGTCACAAGAATAGAATTACTCGATGAATAGGACGAAGATGATTTATTGTCTTCTTCACAGGATAACATTTCTGTTTCCCAGTTCACTAGTGGATGCGACACTGGAAGATCATCCCCATGAGGTACTGGTTTCGTTGCAGATGCAAAGCTGGATATCTAATGTATTGTTTAGTTTTGCCTGAATATCCAGAAACATTAGTCATGCAAAAATAACAGTCAGTCAAATGATCTTTGGACTCACACCATGTCATGGGAACTGCAAGTGGCATACTTGCTCTTTTCTTATTCAGCCACTGTGTCAAGCCAGATGTGCAAACTATACAACACATGTGGAGCCCAGTGTTTTTCTTGGTCACCAATTTTACACTCAAAATAGTGGTAGTAAGCTACTTTTACCTTGTGTGTGATGTTTTTCTTTCGTGAAACTGTAATATATTTTCTACAAATGTAGCAGAAACTGTTTGGATGATTTTTGCACTTTCGGACTTTACTTGAACTGGAGGTAGCCAATATTTCAACTAATTTTCGAAAAAGTATAAAAGAATTTATGTTTACACAACTAGAGTTTAAAATATTTAAAAAAAAAGTTTTGCAGAGTTTTATTATATCGCGAGTATGATACGAGGAAGAAGATCGGACTTTGTTTTGACTGTGCGCGGAGTGAGGCGAAGTGACCAACTGAGTGAGTGAGAGAGAGAGAGAGGCGTCTGTTTCTGTCTCTGGCAGTTATTTCGATGTGATTTATTATTTTACAATAAGAAAACGAGAGGTATCTGCCTCCGCCCCTTTTATGCTCAGTCAAGGGAGTTCTCGAATTTCTAGCAAACTGGGCAAGTGAGGGTTTCGTGATTCCTGGGCGGAGCAGGTGAGTGCAGTAATGAAGCAAAAGTGGTGAAATTCGCTATAATTATATCGAGAACAAATAGCATATATAAACAATATATTTGGAACTTTACACCAATACAATACAGTCAATGTTTGAAGTTATCAAATATGTATGCCTTTTATTCATTAAACTGTTCAAGTAAACTCAATTTTACAGCATAAATCTATACTACTGAGCTTATTGTATGGTGTTTCACACAGTGCTTATAAAATATTGAGACGTTATACTACCTCAAAATCTAAAGGCGATGGACAAAGTCTGACTACATTTTTGAAATCAGCACCTTACAATTTCTCCGAATCACTTAAGTTTTCTCCAGTGGCGAATTTTTGTCCAGTATTATTTAACATGTTCTCCTCGAGATATATATATGAACTTATAGCCTAAAGCCCAGCAGCATAAAGTGTTCTCTTATTTTAAACATGAAGAGTGAAGATAAGCTGTAGAGAGGAAACATATCTGAGATTATCATAATGGTTATTGATACATCAAGCATGGAAAAATAAATCGCTTCACGTTTATTCAACTAAAGCATGATTTTCGTGTAACAAATACAGTTTAATCAGTCCTCTACAAAACCCGAACTAATAACAGATAACTGAAGGTTTAAAATTCAACAAAAGTCATACCATCAGTCGGTTGGAAAGTTAAACAATTCAATGTAACAAATCAAAGGATACTGCTTCGACACAATGTATGATGTCCAAATTACTGTCATTTTTATCCCTCGCTGTTCCAGTGCTTAAACATTTTTTTGAGTTTGAGTAAAAACGTGACTTTGATTGCTGAGGTCGTCAACGTTTCCTTACTCTTTCCTTTCAGATCAGCCCTTTGATAGTTGTATTTGTACACTACATTACTTTTATGAAAGTTATTACGCATCGTTTGAAGCTATTCAATAGAAAAATTAATGGAACTAAAACTGTGACCCTATCTGTACGAAGGACTCGAAATTCAGTAATTCTTGCACAGCAAACATTTTATTTCATACGCTATTATATGATTTTATATATATTTTTAAACTTCGTAAATTCGCCAGTCATTGAATTAAGTTAAGAAAAGAAAATGTTTTAATATCATATCGTATGTAATCCGAGCAGTGTTTAGCTACTGGAACATCCGGCACAATCGCTTCAATTTAGATCAGTTTTTACAGATGCAATAAATGAATTACATATTTACATATTTTTCTAGTTCTAAATAGCTTTTATGAAAATAAAACTATAAATAACTTAATTCAGCCTTTTGATAATATTTCTCTGTAATTAATGCCAGCTATACTACAGAAGCTTTACATAGTTTTGTATAGAATAATCATTCTCTCGAATGCTTTCATCATCAGTGATTTACTAGCACCTTGATATTTCGGTGTGTGATGTGAATTAATATTATACCAAATACTTTGCATACTGTGGGCATTGCAAATCTTAGTTATATTTGTAAATAAACAAGAATGAAGAGTGAACCCATCGAATAAAGATATCATTATTACTTCCCTTTTATTGATTTTGTTCAAATTATGACAAACATTAAACACAGCGATTCCCAATCGTTGGTAAACAATCATGATTTATGATCCTGGTACAATTACCTCATAATTTACTTACATTTCCTATTTCAAACACAAAACACAATGTTGATTCTTTTCTCATATGCAACAAGATTTATGACTTATTATTTTAAAAAGGGTACATTACTCGAAAGAATTATCTGTTGATCATTATTTATTTGAATGTATTAAACCTTTCTATAAACTGCTTTTATAAAAGTAGTGTAGTAGTGTGAACGAAGTGCACTAATATCTTCAGTTAGTCTTTAGTTTACGTGAATAAGTTGCAACTATCAAATTAAGTCCCCACCAAATGAAGGTTTAAGTCAGCTTTCACACACAATTTGGTGATCATATTCCATTCGTTTTCATGTACAAGTTCTCTATAAGTACGATAAAGTATTTTTAGGAAAACGAACAAGTACGGTCGTGTAATTTCCTATTTGTTTAATTTTCAAAGCAGCTTTCAATGTATACATTTCCTTCTTTCCGCGTTTCAATGATCATTTTATTAAAGATGAATTAATATAAATAACATTATGTCTAAAACTAATAGGTTGCGCTGATTTTACCAGGAAAATCAACACCAAAAGTTTTTGAAATAAAATATAATTTATTATTACGTACAGTACACAAACCTTTCCTATAAAACACTCACATACCTTCTGATATAAGACGCTCCCTTATTTCCCAGGCAAATATTGTTGGATTTTCTCTCTTGTATTGTTCAATCTTCGCTACAACTTCGGGAGTCGCCACTTTTGGTTTGCTTCCACCCACTATACCCTGTCGCAAAGCTCCTGTTTCGTAACATCGTCCTATAGGAATATATTACCAGATAATTATATAGACTACATAGGTAATTCATAATTCATTTCATTCTCCAAAAACAATCTTCTTTGTGTAACATAATGTTTGTTCAAATAATTCCACGTTCTACAAAGTAAGACTTACAAAGGTTCCACTGTTCTTTTTTTTTATCATTCATCTCTACTGCAACAAAATATACTAGCTTCATAACGAATTAAAAATCATATTTTATTGATTTTTTGAAGGGATTTTTTCACACATTTGTAGTTCATGTTGTTTATGAAATCCAAAACTTCCAGAATTCAACTCACTGCTAAGAATAATTTAACTCTACTAAGGGAGAAATTTGTTTTTGCATAAATTTGTTTTTCACAGAAAAATGTTTAAAAAATAATTCATTCAATAGAAAATAATTAGGTGTGTTTATTCAATGGTATCTACGATTTTTTATTTATTGACGAACATAAGGCTGCACAATGTACTCTGCTCACAGCAGGTATCGAAACCTGACATTTAGCGTTATAAGCCCTGAGACTTACCGCTGAGCCAGAGACAGAGAAAGGCACATATGAAACAACATATGTGCGTATGTTCTTTATGTTTAATAAGCGTGTAAAACCTTAGGTGTTTTATTTCGACAGGAAAAATATGTTAATAACTTCAATAGGTATAGGCCCGGCATGGCCAGGTGGTTAGGGCGCTCGACTCGCAATCTGTGGGTCGCGGGTTCGAATCCCCATCCCACCAAACATGCTCGCCGTGGGGACGTTATAAACAAACGAACAGGTATAATTCAAAACTATTTAGTGTTTAGTGTCTTTT